TATATCTGACAAAGGACTCATATCCAGTATATATAAAGAACTAAAGAAGTTAAACAGCAAAAAATCAAGTAATCCAATTAAAAAATTGAGTACAGAGCTAAACAGAATTCTCGATAGAGGAATATTGAATGGCAGAGAAACACTTAAAGAAATGCTGAACCTCATTAGGCATCAGGGAAATGCAAATCAAAACGACCCTAAGATTTCACCTTAAAACCATCAGAATGGTTATGATCAAAAATTCAAGAGACAACACATGCTGGAGAGGTTGTGGAGAAAGGGGAACCCTCCTCCATTGCTGGTGAGAATGTAAACTTGTACAACCACTCTGGAAAGCAATCTCGTGCTTTCTCAGACAACTAGAAATAGCACTTCCTCAAGATCCAGCCATACCACTCCTAGGCATATATCCAAAAGAGGCTCAAATACACAACAGGACATTTGCTCAACCATGTTTGTAGCCGCTTTATTTGTAACAGCCAGAAGCTGGAAACAGCCCAGATGCCCCTCAACTGAAGAATGGATGCACAAATTGTACATCTACAATTGTGTACATCTACACAATGGAGCATTACTCTGCAATGAAAAATAAGGAAATCATGGAATTTGTAGGTAAATGGTGGGACCTAGAAAGGATCATCCTGAGTGTGCTGTCCCAGAAGTAGAAAGACACACACGGTGTATACTCATTCATATAGACATATAACATAGGATAAACCTATTAAACTCTGTACACCTAAAGAAACTAATGAAGAGGGAAGACACTTGCCAAAATGCTCAATTCCTATCCAGAAAAACAAAGAGGATCAACATCAGAAGAAGGAGAAAAGAGAGAACAAGTCAGGAGCCTGACACTGAGGACCGCTGAAAGGCTTTGCCCTTCAGATATCAAAGCAGACACTGAGACTTATGGGCAACCTTTGGGCAGAGTACAGGGAATCTTATGAAATAAGTGGGAAACAGTAAGATCTGGAGAGGACAGGAACTCCACAAGGAGAGCAACAGAATAAAAAAAGCCTGAGCAGAGGGGTCTTTCCTGAGACTGATACTCCAACCAAGGACCATGCATGGAGATAACCTAAGACCCCTGCACAGATGTAGCCCATTTGGGTTACAGTATCCAGGTGGGTTCCATTGTGATAGGAACAGGGACTGTCTCTGTCATGAACTGATTGACCTGCTCTTTGATTACCTCCTCCTGAGGAGGAAGAAGCATTACCAGGCCACAGAAGAAGACAGTGCAGACACTCCTGATGAGACCTAATTGACTAGGATCAGAAAGAAGGAAAAGAAGACCTCCCCTATCAGTGGAGTTGGGGAGGGACGTGCATGCAGAGGGTGGAAAAAGGGAGGGATTGGGCTGGAGGAGGGAGGGACCCATAGGCGGATACAACGTGAATAAAGTATAATTAATAAAGAATTAAAAAAAAGTAAAAAAGAAAAGGGCATAGATGTGGAATGAAGCTTTAGATAACCTGTTTACAATCTCCTACTTGTGGTCCATTTAAATAACCTTGTTTACTTTCTTGCACTTGTGGTCTAGTTTGAATAGTCACCAGGGTAGTAGGAGGAAGTCCTTCATATAACAGCAGAGAGGGAGAGCAAGAATAAGTTTCCAACCAATGTCTGACAAAACAGCCAAGGACATGGAGAACAGACTGTTCAAGGCAGCCAAGGGCACTTAGAAGCACAAAAATGGATTGGCCTGGGGAGAATCTGGCACAGTAAGATGATTTTCTAGGTAGAGTCTGATGTTGCACAAAGTAAGATAGCCATAGACAGAACAAACCTCCAGGCTGAGCTGAATTTCCCTTGCATTTTAAGTTTCCCCAGATGTCCAATTCCCATGACCCTTAGATTCACAGGTAGCCAGGAAACACCTTCCAGGAACTTGTGCAAATGGAAGATGAAGTAGCCAAGAAAGAAATACAGAGGTTTCATTGGAGAATAATAAAGACTTGTGAAAGTTCTAGTGTAACTTAAGTTTTATCCCACTCATTACTTTAATAAAGACCTTAGTTGATATTTAGGTGACATGTGCCAATTTCTGTGTAAACTTTGAATAAAAATGTTGCATTAAGGGCAGTATACTTTCTAGAAACTTTTCAATTGCATCAATGTCACTTGTCAATTTTAGAATTATTTCCAAATTCTGTAAGACAAAGGAATTCATTAATAGACTGAAACAAAGTCTAAAATGGCAAAACAAAAATTTAACATTCATGTACCTGACAGTGAATTGATATACAAAATATATAAATATCTGAGTTAAACCCCAGAAATGCTAAAATTTAATCAATAAACAGACAAGTGAAAAGCACAGACATTCTTTTCCAAGGATCAAGTACAATGACCAAACAGATACATTAAATAATGTTCAACATCCCTAAGCTTTGGAGAAATGCAAAGCAAAGTACATTAAAATGCCATCTCACTCCTGCCAGAATGGCTATCATTAAAAGAACAAGAGCAATGCTGACACAACAGAATGACATTTGCAGAGTGTGATACTGAATTGACAGAACTGAGATTTATCACTACACAGGATCAAACAACTGTGTATTCAGTGATTACACTGTAATCAGTTACATAGCTCATTGGCTAACAACATGAAAGTAGAAAAGAGAACAACGACTTGAAATTTATCTCATCCTATGTTCAGAGATAAAAGTGTTAACCATTTCCCCCAGAAGGATTATAGTAGAAAACTCAGATGGCAAGTTTCAGGAGTTCTTTTCATTAGAAATGGAAAATGATGTCTTCAGAGAATGAGATCTTCCAAAGAGTAGCCCATTTTACTGAGAAAATCTGTTCTACTTTTTATTGCTGTTGCTGGTCTTAAAAATTGCATCATAATCAAACCCTTTGTTCATTACTCAGAGTTCCTGTATTCTTGGCAAATTCTGTAGTTTATTATAGATATTTAAAACACCGTAAAGAAACCTCTGAAGCCCTTTTAACATAAGGTTGAAACTTCTGGTCAAGTGTGGTCAATGATGTAGCTGCTGACCTCTGAAAAAGAATGTTCTTAGAATTATCAATGCAAGTAGAACTATGGTAGGCAATCATGCTTTTCGTCCTCTTTAGTGTCAAGCATTCCCTAAGGAACATGTACTGTAGTTGTCCTCTCAAAACAACAACACATCAACAACAGACAAATCCTAGAACAACTGTAGGAAGTCACTAAAAAAATGAAAGCAGAGATTGTTCAAAAAAAAATCACAAATAGTGTTGGTTAGATAGCTCAGTGATAGTGTTTGTCGTACTCTAGGTCCAACCTCAAGCACCTCAGAAAAAATAAAAATAAAACTATCATTTGGTACACCCCATAAAACCTGCTTTTCCATTTCTTGTTAGATTGTTTACAATGGCTAACTTCTTGGATAGGTTGTGTGCCCAACAGCTGATAAAGAGACAGGAGTAATATTATGTATATTTGATGATGGTCTTTTATTCAGTCATAAGAAAGAATAAAATTATTTCATTTGTAAAAAATGGGTACAATATTACACCACTGTATTACATGAAATAAGTTAGATTTAGAGAGACAGATACTGTTTTCTCTTATCTATGTGACCTACATTTTAGATGCACACACACACACACACACATTTGTGTGTGAGTGAGAGTGTGTGTGTGTGTGTAGAGTGCAATATAAAAACACAAGGGCTACCATTTGAGAAGATAAAGACAGCTAATAGAGTAAACACTAGAGGATAATGGGGAGTGAATATGGTCAAAATATGTGAAAGTTTTGAACAAAAATATTATTGTGAAACATAATTTTTCACAATAGTTATCAATATTTCTTTCGAATATAAACATTTTAATATATGTACTTATTAATACATATATCACACAGTTGGGACAATCAATAAATAACAGACTTTTTTCCTAGGAAAATGTGAACCAAAGAGGTTTTTTAGGAGATCCCTTTATTGTCTTAGGTGGTACTTACTGAAAACGCTTCAAAGCAAAGGTAAATTTCTTAGCGGAACAATGCCTTATGTTTTATTTCAAGCACATCATTTTAAAGAGTTTGGATGCCCAGCACTCTCTCTTACCACCATCCAAAGACAAAAGTCTAGATAACTGTAAAATTTTACTTGACAAAAGCAAAGCCATTTTTGCTGTTTCCTCATCATACTGCTCAAGGGGAAAATCATAGAGGAAAATTTTCTCTGGTTTATTATTTGATTAAAAAGGGAAATTGCTAGTAATTTGAAAGAATCAACCGAAATCAAAACCAGCTCATCTGCGGACAAGCTAGCAAGTGCAACTGGGAAGACGTTGAATTCACCTGAAAAGCTTTTGTAAAACTTGGGCATTATCTTTGCTGTTCTTAAAACACACCCATGGCAGAAAGAACACTATAGACTTCTTTCTAGCTGCTCTTGAGGGTAGCAAAGTTCTCAGCAGTTTGAAAAGAAGAGGGAAATCCAAACAGTGAGGGAAATATAGAAGGCTTCATAGGAGACTGACAGCCTGAGAAGGATCAACAAGTGGGGAAGGTCAGACAGCTGAGGTTTAGCATTTCCCCACACAGACTAGGATGGGACAGAAGGTGTCTACATAATCTGACGTTTCAACTAATTTCCTCCCTGTCTCAGGAAGGCATCTTTCTCACCATGCCCGGCTGCACCTGCCTCTCCTGCTCTTGGCCCAACACATAGCCCTGCTATGGAAGCACATGAGGCATTCCTCTGCTCTCCTGCCCGAGTTAGCCTTTAAATTTCTGGAAGGAATCTGGTCCCTCGTAAGCTGTTCAGGGACACGAGAACCAGGCACTTGTTTGCTTCTGGGGAAGGACAATAACTGGTCTTTAACCTAGGAAATTTGCCAGCTTGTGTGTGGGAAGAGAGCTGCACCTGTGCCTTTCCCAGGGTGTGTGGGGAAGGGGCTGTTACTGCTGCCAAGTTCTGTGTGTCAGTGCCCAAGGCAGGCTTTCTGACATCAGGGTCCTCCGGCTCCTCCCACTCCTCTCCCACCCTAGATTTTCTATTCAACTCTGTTGTATATAAAAGACCTACCTTTTCCTAGCCCGACAAGACACCTTGGTCTGAGCCTGCAGGTAAAGACTTTTTTCGCAGAAAGGAACTTGTAACATAAGTTAGACCCCTTATATGTGAGGAAAGTAACAATGAAATTTATACAAAAGCTACTAGCAATGATGCCTCAGAAGAGCCACAGCTGCCTTTGAGTTTCAGAGTCTGTATGATCCTTTGGAGAGAAATGTTTGAGCATGTCTGGTTCTCAGACAGATTTCATGCACCGAGGAATAGAGAACAGAGACCTTGGAATGAATCAGGGGTTCTCTGTTAATGGTAGAATTTTCTTCTCTGTGTTCTTTGATAGAGATTGTTGATCTGCTTCCTATGCAAAAGGCAGTCTGCTGCTCAGCATGGCTGGAAGCACAGCATACTTCATCCTGGCCTCATGCCTGATGCTCCTGTCTCCCAGCCAAGGTGAGTGAGATCTTTTCCTAGAGTTTATTTTCTGAAACTATCGCTTGATGCTATCAGCCCACCCCTATCAACATGGTGCACGTGGAGGAAGGAAGAGTCCATGTTAGTCATGTGTTGAGCCTTGTTACTGCTCTAATTCCACCTCTTCTGGGATTTTAAGGTGAAATTTAAAATCATCTCTTTTCTATGGAAACTGAACTTTGATTGGCTCATCTGTGTAACTTCAGATCTTATGAAAGACTTGAGGGGGCTTGTGGGAATAAAAGGAATGAAGATGTGAGAGGATTCCTTTGTGGGGAAAGGTAGAAGTTGGAACTAATAATATAATAAATTTCCCTGGGAAACTCATTGTGAGTTTTTTGTCTTAAAGAATGTGAGATGGCAGAGAAGTACAAAGATGCAGGAAGTTGAAGAGGCAGTCATTCCAACTCCATGCTTCATCACTGAGTTCCTGCTGAGGAATTCTACCAGTTGTCTCATCTTCTAGCCTTAGCCTAGTCCTGGGAGTCTCCTTTAACCATTTTTCTTAGGCCAAGAAGCTGAAGAAGACCTGCCTTCTTCCAGAATCAGTTGTCCAGAAGGTTCCAATGCCTACAGCTCCTACTGTTACTACTTCATTGAAGAACGTTTAACTTGGGCTGATGCGGATGTGAGTAGAGAAATGTATGGAAGGCAGATACTGACACTTTCTGGTGTGTTTAGAGGCTTCATTGGAAGCCTTGCCCTATCATGGCCCAGGTTTGCTTCCTCAAGCATGTCTTTCATTTTTTAACCTTCCCAAGCACAGATCTAGGTGGTGAGAAATAACATCATTGTGACCATGTTTTCACAGTCTTCTTCAACCTCTTTCCTTGGGAGGACCTAGTATAGTGTTCAAAACTTTCTTCACCATTCAGTAATCTATTCTCTTCCGCTTACACAGCTCTTTTGCCAGAACATGAATTCAGGCTACCTCGTGTCTGTGCTCAGTCAGGCTGAAGGCAACTTTGTGGCCTCTCTGATTAAGGAGAGTGGTACTACAAATGCCAATGTCTGGACTGGCCTCCATGACCCCAAAAGGGTGAGTATGCATCCTCTTTTTCTCCTGATAATCAGGCGATGTGGGAGAGGTAGTCTTCTATGCAAGAGCTAGCTTTTATGGTGTTTGTATGACAGCAATATCTCTACATATCCCAGAATGTATGGGATTTGTAAGGATCACTGAAGATAGTTGTGAAGGATAGGCTCCTTATTATTCTTTTCATGTATGAACAGGTTTATTCTATTTCAAGAAAAGCATTTCTGTGTGTCTTACTCTGATCTGTCTAGGTAATCTCTGAGTTAGACAGAAGCTACTTGTAAGTGATCCAAGAGAAGAGAATTTACTGTCAATATACTAGCAGCCAATAGGATTATCAATTTTTGCCTCCAAAAAGATAAAATCTAGTAACAACTTTCTGTAGTGAGTGTTTATAAATTCTATAAAGTGAAAAGCTTACAGTTTTGCAGTACAGAAGAAGAACTTGGACATTCAATTAAAAGTGAAGCTGAGAGAAAAATCCTATGGAATCTCATGAAATTAAAAAGCACATTGCAGTTAATTCTTGAAACGTTTTTCTCGTTTCCTAGTGTACACATAGGACAGACCCTTTCACTCTTTCATGATTTGCAGATGCTCTTATTTCACCACTTCTCTTCTAGAATCGCCGTTGGCACTGGAGCAGTGGGTCTATGTTTATCTACAAGTCCTGGGCCACCGGGTCTCCAAACTCCTCCAATCGCGGCTACTGTGTATCCCTGACTTCAAACACAGGTGGGAAATGAGGAATCCCCATAAAACTATTTGCCTTTGTTCAGGTCTTGGGATAGGTTGGAGAAAGAGACATGCAATTCCATGTTTAAGAAATGGAAGTCAGTCTCTTTCATTTCTTATCATGAGTCTTTAGGAGCCTCTTGGTCTGACTTTTCCCCCTCATTTTATAGGGTACAAGAAGTGGAGAGACGACAACTGTGATGCACAGTACTCATTTGTCTGCAAATTCAAAAGCTAAAGTCATCTGAAGCAAACAGATTTCTAGAGTTAAATCAAAAATTTCTGTGGAATAAAAAAAATTAAACTGGACCATCTCTCAAAAGCAAATTAGATACTCTCTCCTTGGACAGGCTTCATTGAATCACAGGCCTATGGTATCTTTATCTACACTATTTTCTGAAACGCTGTAAAATTAAAATAAAAGTACCTTCCCAATCTGATATATACTGAATCAGTAATATACACTGATGATATTTTACTGTTTAAAATAAAAGAGATTTTATAATTTTCAGACTTTCTTGGTTAAGGAGATATGTAAAATTCTATCTACATACAGGTTAATTTATAAGCCCATTTTCACCATAGTTGAATGTATACATAAAAATTCTACCTAAAAATCTTTATGCTTGCATGGGCTTATAAGACTTATTAGAGATTTGGCAAATAAATGCATGAGGGCATTGATTCTCTAGAAGGATTCAAACAGGTAAATTTTAAGGAAGCCATTTTCTTTGCTCAGATAAGCAAATTAAAATCATAACTAATATGGCAACATCAAGAGACTTCTCAGGCCTTGAATGCTTAATGAATCAGTAGTAGAAAAAAACTGAGGCCTACAAGCCTATAATTAATGTTAAATGCCAAACTTTAAACTAATGACTAAATGAATTTATGATGAATTAACTAAACAAAATATACTGTAGTACTTAATTGCCTCTTTAAGTATATAAAATTCTGAAGTGTTAAGAGTGAGAATTTTTAAAAAAATAGTTTTTCAAGGAAATGGCTCAGTCTCCAAACACTGATTATCATAATGATACATTTAAATATGATTTGTCAAATCAATTAGAACACAGATTCAGAATATCACCACCAGTTATAGAAATCACCACCAAACAAGAAAAACACACAGATGCTAGCCTCACATATGTTAGAGGCAAATAGTTTGAGGACAAAATGATGAGAAATATATGATTCAACGATAGCCATGAAGGCACCAATATTTCTGTACTATAATGGGCTGATTACCTCGAATACTGTCACGTACCCAGAACCTTAACACTTGAGAAGGTGAGGCCAGAGAATTGCAAGTTACAGGCCGGGTTGGGCCTATGAACTTCAGGCCAGACTGGGATAAATACGCAGACCTTGTCTGAAGAACTTAAAAGACATCCTAGATACACTCATCTTTTAATTTTTTTTAATGTTATTTTTAGTTATGTGTGTATTTGTCTAGTGGGGGTTGGGAGTTATGTAAACATGAGTACAAGTGATCCCCCAAAAACAGAAGATAGAATCAGATCCCCTGGAATTGGAGATATAGGTTGTTGTCAGATGCCAGACATGGGTGCTGAAAAGCAAACTTGGGATCTGTGAAAGGACACTGCATGCTTCCAATTGTTGAGCCATTTCTTTAGCGCCATATCAGTTTCTAAAAGAGGATCATTTTATTTTGGTAAAATAGTTAATGATTTGAAAGGTAAAATTATTAACCATTGTGCATAACCACAGATATACCAAATAAATGTGACATACAAGGTAAAAATTGAAATATATAGATAATTCAATTATTGAAGTTGACTTATAATTTGAGGAGTGCTAAAAGGCCCAGGGACTGGGTGAGTGTAATATGTTTTAAGAGATCTAATCAGCAGTTCTCAAGCTCTTTGTCTAGACCCTTGCAGAGGGTCAAACACCCTGTGCACTGGGGTTGTATATCAGATATCTCGCATCTAAGATATTTGCATTAAGACTCATAAGAATTGCAAAGTTACACTTATGAAGTAGCAGCAAAAGTAATTTTATGGTTGGGGATCACCATAACAGAAGAAACTGTATTAAAGAGTCACTGCATCAGGAGGTTGGGAACCGCTGCTCTAAGGCATCATCTGCACAGCCATACAGACATGCAGTCTAGATCTAGCAGCAGTCAAGTGCATGTCGTAGTCAACGAACACGATACCATGTGTAAGCTCTGAAAACGTGAAATGGCATCAGGAAAGCAACTTAGTTGAAGAGAAGGCACAAGCCCTGTGAAATTCCGTATTCTAAGCATGACATGAACATGGCAATTGTGAACTCAAGGCTGGTTGGCTTTCTAACCTTCAGTTAGTGGGGGCAGGGGCTTACTGGGCCTTACCACTAACTTTTTATTTATTGGCAACTAAGAATGTCTTAAGGAAGAGGTGTTTATCATTGAGGTGAATATCCATTGGTGGATTCACTAGGCTTTGATGGTTAGTTCTAAACACAGAGCTATACAAATGGTCCTAGTTAAATTCTGTGGCACACTAAAAAAAAACAAAGCAAACAAACAAACAAAAAACAAATGTGGGAAAGATATTTGTAAAGAATACAGGGTAGTAGGAAAAGGAAGGAATTAAGAAATGGTGTGGGAAAATTGTCAAAGACGACAAAAATATTAAAAGTGCCAAAAGTCCAGGATGCCTGCTGCTGTATTGGGTCTTATAGATGTGTCAGGGAAGCTGCACCTATCTCATCATAGTTGCCTAAATAAAATCTGCATCATGGTACCACGAGTTGACATGCCAACATAAATGGGGGGGGAGACCTATAGACAACCAATGGTTGCAGACAGAGAGGAAGAGAGAGAATCAGTTTTCTTCAGAGTCTAGTATTAAGTGGTCTGCCCTAATCATATATACATATGAACAATAGACAGACTTAAACAAGGTGTGTGCATGTGCGTGTGTGTGTGTGTATGTGTGTGTCTGTGTGTTTCAAACAATAGCTAAAGTAGAAGATCCTGCATTTGAAAGAGATTGCAGGAAAACACAAGAGGAGCTGTAAGAGAGGAAGGATGACAATGATGTAAATACAATAAGCAATAGTAAATAAATTTTCTCAAAAATTATTTAAATAAAAAATGAGGACATGGGACAGAGAAAACATAGTATATTATGTAAATGTATAAAACTGTTGAGGAATAAAATTTGTCAATAGAAGATAAAGTGGGGAAGAGCCTACAAGTCACTGACACAAGAGACAACTTTCTGAACAGAACACCAACAGCACAGGCTCTAACATCAACAATCAACAAATGGGATCTTATGAAACTGAAAAGCTTCTGTAAAGCAAAGGACATAGTCATCAGAACAAAACAACAGTCTACAGACTGGGAAAGGATCTTCACCAACCCTATATCTGACAGAGGGCTGATATTGAGAATATAAAAAGAACTAAAGAAGTTTAAAAGCGATAAATCAAGTAACCCAATTAAAAAGCTGGGGTACAAAGCTAAACAGAGAATTCTCTGTAGAGGAATATAGAATGGCAGAGAAACACTTAAAGAGATGCTCAACATCCTTAGCCATCAGAGAGATGCAAATCAAAATGACCCAGAGATTTCAACTTACACCCATCAAAATGGCTAAAATCAAAAATTCAAATGACAACACATGCTGGACAGGTTGTGGAGAAAGGGGAACCCTCCTCCATTGCTGGTGGGAATGTAAACTGGTACAACCACTTTGGAAATCAATCTGGCACTTTCTCAGACAATTAGGAATAGTGCTTCCTCAAGACCCAGCTATACCACTCCTAGGCATATATCCAAAATTTGCTCAAGTACACAACAAGAACATTTGCTCAACCACATTTGTTGCAACTTTATTTGTAATAGTCAGGACCTGGAAACAACCCAGATGTCCATCAACGGAGGAATGGATACAGAAATTGTGGTATTTTTACACAATGAAATACTACTCAGCAATTAATTACAAAGAAATCATGAAATTTGCAGTCAAATGGCGTGATATAAAACAGATCATTCTGAGTGAGGTATCCCAGAAAGAGAAAGACAAACATAGTATATACTAACTTATTTAGACCTATAATATATGATAAACATAATAAAATCTATACACCTAAAAAAGATAAACAAGACAGAAGACCTGGGATAAGATGATCAGTCCTCACTTAGAAAGACAAATGGGATGGGCATTGGACATAGGAGAAAACAAGTAACAGGACAGAAGCCTACCACAGAGGGCCTCTGAAAGACTCTAGCTAGCAGTGTATCAAAGCAGAAACTAACACTCATAACCAAACCTTGGGCAGAGTGCAGGGAATCATATGAAAGAAGGGGGAGTTAATATGACCTGGAGAGGATAGGAGCTCCACAAGGACCAAATATATCTGGGCACAGGGATCTTATATGAGACTGTTTCTCCAACCAAGGACCATGTATGGATCTAACCTAGAACCTCTCCTTTGCTTGGCTGTAGCCCATGGTAGCTCAGTAACCGAGTGGGTTACCCTAGTAAGGGGAGCAGGGACTATTTCTGCTATGAACTCAATGGTAGGCTCTTTGACCTCCCCACCCCCCAAGGGAGGAGCAGCCCTGCTAGGCCACAGAGGAGGACTTTGCAGGCAGTCCTGAAGATACCTGATAAAACAGGGTCAGATGAAAGGGGAGGAGGTCCTCCCCTATCAGTGGACTTGGAAAGGGGCAGGGAGGAGGTGAGGAAGGAAAAGTGGGACTAGGAGGGAATGAGGGAGCAGGATACCGCTGGGATACAGAGTTAATAAAATGTAACTAATTATAAAAATAAGCATAGAAAGAAATGTTCTTTAAAGTCTTACCTCTACTATATATTAAACAATTTAAAAACCATTAAAGGTATATTGAAAAAAACAAGGTATTTTAAAAACAAAAACACAAATAAAACCTCATGTTTGTCGTTATCAAAAAGAGACATCTTTAGGTAAAAAACAAATAGTAAAAATTCCATGCTGCATGGAACAAAGCAGATGATTCTAGTGTAGCTGGTCAACTGGCACCAAGCAAGCACTTAAAGGCTTCAGCTCCACTCTTTGTTCATTTCTCATCACCAGAAATTTATATTCATTTTTCTTATTGGATGACCAAACCAGGAAATGGTAGAAAGGGCAAGCCGGCTAGTCTGGACATGTCCAGCCTCAGGCTCTGACAAAATTTCAGCTGTTGCCTTAGGTACTTTTGTCTCTTTCCCATCTTGTGGTTTAGGGTTATTTGGGCTCCTATGTTGCAGCTGCAGTGATACAGATGTTAAGTGGCTGATGACTTTGATTTTCCTGTTCTCTTCCTAGCTTTTTCCATCTATGTTTTCAGTGGCCCAGGAAAAAATGTGGTCTGTAACCCTGGTACATATTCTGTCTCACTGGTCTACCTTGCTCTCTTACACCTGGTTTCAGCACCCTCCATCATTTTTCATGGCTCTCAAGGGTTAGAATACTGTGGTCAATATCCATAGTGTCTCTGCATATATTAAGATACTTCACCTGCAATAG